CCTGCTGTGAGAGTCTTCCCAGAGGAGTCCACAGATTCTGTGGGGCAGGGACCAGCCACCCACACCACGTGCTATCTGCACTCTCAGTCCACAGAACTACGCGAGGCGGTCAATTATTGTGTTAACTAACTTCATTCCAGGATGAATTTTTGTTATGCAGCAATAAATGACCAAAAAAATTAAATTTACTGACTTAGAAAATGTCAAAAAATATGTTGTAAAGTGAAAAAATTTCATAGTGAAATAACATGTATGGTGCCACTTTTGAAACAGAAAACTTTGTATACGGAATCCATGTACACATAACACCTTTGCACAGACTATAATTCCAGCTTTCTGTTAACTAACTCTGGAGAATCAGCATTAAGGGAATAAATATATATCTAATCTTTATTTATATGTTGTATTTATATATAAATATATATTTTATATTTAGGTATCTTATGAATACGTATGCATTATATATACATTTATATACTTATATATTGATATTTTACAAATATTTATACATATTGTATATAAATTTATATACTTTATATTGTATATACTTATACATTTTAATTTATGTTTATAAATATATATGGTTTTATTTGTGTACATAAATATGTACATATTTTTATTTCTGTATATAAATATTTATAAATGGCTTTTTATCAATGGCTTTTTATCAATGGCTTTTTATCAATGAGGTATAAATGGCTTTTTACTTTTTTGAAAGAAAACTTTTACAAAGGAAAATTAGATAGCCAAAAAATGAAAGCAAATTACATATATATATTAAAAATATCAATATAGCTATATAAGTATATAACCTACATATATATATAAAACACAACATATAGCACTATGTATGTACTATGTAATATATAACATACAATTGTAAATAATACATATATACTATAAAATATCATAATTATGTAATGTAATATGTATATTATTATTTATGGTATATTATGCATAAATATAATAGAACATATGACATATATTATATTACATGTGTCATTATATTATTATATATTATCTAATATGTCATAAATATAATATATTATATATTTACATATGAACAAATGTAAATACCATATACATTATTTCATATATAAATTTATATGACTATGTTTATATAATCATCTATAAATTATGTAAACAAAATTTATACATTATATAAATATATGCTCTTTATATATTGTATTTATATATGTTTATATAATCTATATTAAATTTACACATTATATACATATATATGTATAAATACATGACATTTCTCTAAATATA